GCCGGACACTTGCAGGAAAGCGCGCGAGATGCCGACAGTTGTCGCGACTCTCGCGGATTGCCATTTGTCTCGCGCCACAGGACATAAAGCTCACGTACGCAAAGCGAACACATCGCCGCTGTTTGACGCAGAAAACAAAGTCTAAATAAAAACTGTTTTTTTTTTAGGTTTTTTTTTAAAACTAAACCTACCTATTTCATATGTCTAAGATTCCGTGCATCATATTCACCGTTTTCAAATGAAAGTTTTAAACTCAAAATTTTAAAGCACATTTTTGCACTTTTGAAGTTGGGCATAATACTTACTAATTCTTATTTTATGTTATACAAAATTATAACGATATAAACTTTGATAAGAAGAACAGACAGGGTAATAAATAAAGACAGGTTAAACCAAATTCCCCGGTGATTTGTCACTATAAAAGGCATTTTGTTTTCCTCTTAGACTGAGATAAAATAGAAAAATGACATTTTTATACACAAAATTTACTATTATCTATTTAAAATAAACAGCGAAACATTTCTTTTGAGTGAAAAATAAAATGCGGTTTAAATTATTTATGTAGAAAGACTCGGGGTCGCTACAACTAAGCTTACACATTATTTTGCATTAAAATAACATTTCATTCCAATGTGGCCGCTTCACAATTTAGATAAGTTTTAAAATAAATAATTCAAAGTTGACACAACCTGCCTTATGTAGACAGACTAAAGTAACACATGGAAAACATAAAAATAACTTAGATTCCGGTTTAGTTAATAAAATATCACGAAAGTAAATCCTTATATCCGCTTTGTGTAATGTATTTCCGCATATTGTACTTTAGGTGAGGGTTAAATGTCTAACAAAGATAATAAATGTAATGCAAAAAATTATGACAATTAAATTCTAATTATCATAAATGCAAAAAATGTTTTGTGTCTTTGTATTTTGAGAGTTGTTTGTAGCCCTAAGGGCTAAACGGATTTCGATGAAATATGGTAAAGGTATAGATAATAGTTTGGAAGAACACATAAGCTACTCACTTTTTTTTTTCACGCGAATGGAGTCGCGGGCGACAGTCTTGAATAAAAATTGTCTAGCTAGTAAAATCTACTATGTTTGTTTGTTTGTAACATAATTTAGAGTTGTATAAAAATCCAAACTTTTGTGTCCTCCAGCTTCACTAAAGTAAAGCCTTGAATAGACATTAAATAAAAAAATATGTCGTTTATAAATAAAAGACAAGGTTATTTTTACATTATTCTAAGTTCTTTGTTTTAATCTAAAAATAAATCGATCGCGACTCGTCGATGACGAATAATCGTTGAATATTTTATAAGAAAATCTATGAATACGATTTTTTAGCGCGAGCTTTAATGTCGGAATCTGTGTCGTTTGGTAATAATAATAAACATAAATCGATAATCAATTTTAATATTCCATAATAAATAAAGTAACGTGACGTTTTGGTTACGCGCGAAACGTTTTTATCTGTGCGGTAAGTTTTGAGACGGCGCCATTTGCATTTTCCCGCCGAGAAAGTAACGCCCTTCACATCACTAGTCTCTGGTTTATCGATACACCATTAGCTTGGCTTTATTCTAATCAACGTATATTATCGAGTTTACATTATAAAACTATGATGTATCGGTTTTGTGACTTTCGTATTTTTTTCATTACATCGTATATGAATTATTGTAATTTTTACGTGTTTATTTTCGCTAAGGCTTTTACGTATTTATTAATTTTGCTTTGTAAACTGTCAGATTGATATTTTATATGAATGTTTTAAAATCAACATTTCCGATATAGTTATTACCTTATCTGTGACAATGTTTTTTACTTTCATAGAAATCTTTTAAATTAAGTTGTCCGCCGTTTCATTTGAATCTAAGTTAGTAAGGATAGCTTCGGTTATCTGTTTATTATTTAGTTGATATTTCAACAACGAAATTTCACAAGTAAAAAATATAAAATTAAAGTTAAGAATACTCGAATAAAACAAATTACAACGACCTAAAATTTTAATTTCAAACGTTTTCAGTAGAAATATTTGCGATGGACACAACGCGTCGGCTAAATATCCGTAAAGTGTAGGGAATTATTGACAGCGAAGGCTGAAATAAAGCGGCCTCCAGTAATCCCCGAAAGCCTTTCCGGCGCGGGCAAACGGCCGGCCAATCATTCGTCAAACGGCCCGCGCGGCTGTAAATCTTATAGGGCGGGCGGCGCAGGGGGTGCGGGGCGCGGGGGGTGCGTTACGTAACATCCGGAAGTGCGGATTAGGAATCAATAGTGGGCCGTAATGATAGTTGTAGAGTAATAGATGTAACTGCGCTGTTTCTGTGCGCGCAGAATGTTCGCAGCGCCCCCTAACTTATTGCGTTTTGTTATACATTGTGTTAGGTGGCGATGGCGAGTGGTGGGTGGCTGGGAGGGAGTGTTTCTCTTTGCCTTTACTTCCTCTGAATACTTTTACTTGTACAAGTGATGTTTCACATTGTACTAACACTCTCTTCTTATTTCAACTTATGGTTTTAATGACAACAAAAGCCGATGCCAAACTGAGATCTAATTGCAAAAAAACAACATACTTTTATTCGATTAACAAACAAAACATCAATAATTTTAAACTAAAATAATAAACAATACGAAGTGTATGACTTCCTAAATATTTTACACAATAGGGTGATTAGTGTTATGATTCAAAACTAAGGCTTCGTGGAAACTGTGAGTCAGCGGCTCGTAAGCAAAGAGGAAAATCAAAGCCTACTCTGTACATGCATTTTAACACGTATAATAGTCACCTATGATTTCGCATATTGAGAAGTTAGAGGTTCAGTGGCTCAGTGCTTAAAAACTATAGTTTTAATGTACAAGTCCGGCTTCGATCTCCACTATGTTACTCTTATTATCTTACTAATATTATAAATAATGCGAAAGTTTAGATGGATGGATGGATAGATGGATGGATGGATGTTTGTTAGCGTTTGTAGCCTAAACGGCTGAACGGATCTCTATGAAATTTGGCACAGGTTTAGAGCATAGTCTGGAAGAACACATAGGCTACTTTTTATCCCGGGAATAGTTACGGTTCCCGTGGGATTCATTAATTTAGTTTTTTAATGTTTACTCGATCATTCTGCAACGGTTCAACATATCTTATTAAAATTTGGCACAGATATAAAACAAAGTCTGGAGTACACATGGGATAAGCTTAATCCCCGAGAAATGTCCAGTTCCCGAGGGATACGTAACTTTTTGTAATTTATATAGTTTGTATGTTTTCTAATACTACGCGGACGAAGTCGCGGGCAACAGCTCGTATTATATAATTTAACTAGAATTTGTGAGAAATTAGATCTATTATATAAACAATTATTATCTTCGGTAGATTCTTCCATGATGTAGCCTATTTACTAAAAATTAATTACTATTGAGGAAAAACTGTTACAAACAAAACAAGTCGATTAATGTTCGTATCTAAAAATAAATTAATGTAAACTCAAGTAGTTTGGGCGCGCGCCAGTTGCTATAAAAAATGTTATCTATTAACAATTCTTGCTAAAGTCATTTATATATTACCAGTATCTCTAATTAAGGAGATAAACAGAGCTTTAATCAATAAGTAGGGTAACAGCAGTTAAAAAGTGTTAGCAGAATGAAAACTTGAAATAAATGAAAGCTTTCGTATCCTACAGTGTCCTGCAATAATAAAAAAACTATAGAATAAAGCTTAGTTAAATTGCTTGACTAAACTCCGCTCATTTCCCTGCATATATGATTCCTAAGATATCTACTATAAATAGGCATGTAGTGAGACAAAAAGAAATACAAAATTACCAAAACGCGTTAAAAGTCAACATTTACGCAGATTTTAACTAACTAACCTTTCGCAGTGAAAACAAATAATATTTGTTAGTGTAGCGAATGTATTGTTGCGTCCCAAGTGTTATCAATGCGATATATATTTGTGAAGGCTTCACCGCTTCCTACCCCTACACCCGGGGCTAAATATATCGCAGGGGGTGGCGTGGGGTTAGCCGATCTTATGCTATTATACTTGACGAATTGTGTACGTTCGAGTGATATGTTTTGCTACTAAAGGAAAAAAGTTTTTTTTTTATTTTTTTCTATAATGTTTGGAAATTTTAAGAAGAATATAAACTATAGGAGTATTCTCTACACGAGTTACAACTTAAAAATAATAAAACATGATACACTAGTTTTATATCAATTGTCTACTGATATTATTAAAAACTAGCCTTTGCCCGCGACCCCGTCCGCGTGAATAAAAATAATAAAGAAATGAAAAAATATAGCCTATGTTACTCACAGATAAATTACCTTTCTAACGGTGAAAGAATTTTTAAATTCGTCCCAGTAGTTTTTGAGCCTATTACAATCAAACAAACAAAGTTTTCCTCTTTATAATATTAGTATAGATTTATTCTTTCATAGCG